GTGCCATCATGAGGAGTCATCGGACCAGGTAATAGGCATCAGAAGACACACAACAAACCAATAAACATATTGTTGAGTATGAGGGAGGTCAGAGTAGAGACCCAAAGTCCATCTATAGGCAATGGAACATACACACACAGAGGGGCCACAGGGAAGGGATGAGTCAACCAGGTTGTGGTAAAGCATCACTGAAACATACTCTATTCCTCTGGTTCCTTGAGGCTTCCTCACCCCCCACTATCATGACCCCAGTGCTGCTTCTCAACTCTAACTAGACCGGAACATGTACACAGGTACAGATAAGAAACGGGAGCTCATGACGCATGGAATTCAGGAGCAGAAGTGGAAATAGCAATAGCAAACGGGGAGCGGGGGAGCGGGTGGGGGGTAGGGCGGGGAGAAGATCTCAATGATCCACACATCACCATACACCCCTCTCCAGGGGGAAGAACAACAGAAAACACGGGGGAAGGGAGACAAGAGTTAGTGTGAGAAATGAAAATAATAATAATTTACAATCTTTCAAGGGGCTATGAGGGTGTGGTGGGGAGGGATGGATTAAAAAGAGGAGCTGATACCAAGGGCTCAATAGAAGGTAAATATCTAAAAAAGAATTAAGGCAACATATGTACAAGCATGCTTGATGCAATCAATGTATGGATTGTAACAAGAGTTGTAAGAGCACCCAATAAAATTATCTTTTAATTAAAAATTTATTAATTAGTTAATTTATTTTTTAAAATTAGTGACAGTTCTACTCTGGGCATTTATGGCAATTATGGGCATTTAGGGCAACTATGAATCAGAATTGGGGTGTGTGTGTGTGTGTGTGACTTTTGTGTAATCTAGACTCTAGGTATGCCTGTCACATATGTGTACCCTGAACATAAAACAGACCTTTCAGTTTCTTCATTGAAAGAAAATTGCAAGTTTTAACATCTAGAAGGGCAAAATAGTATCGGTGTTAGGAATACAAGCTTTGGAGCCAGATATCAAAAGAATTATGAAGTACATAGTAGCAATATAAATAATAATGTTTACTTACAAGAAACTAATGTTAGGATCTATTCAGGCACAGTTTCCATATTCTATTTTTAAGATAAAGAAAAGATAATGATTTAAATATGTTGTTTCTTTGGATCTAATTTGTTATCTCTCTTTTCCCCGATCCCAGCGTTCTTCATTGTGCCAATAATATGTTTTGACTGGCTTCACAATTAAACTTAAAAATTAACAACACATGAATGGAATATAAATTGAAAGCTTCTTTCATTTTAAAATATTTTATTTTGTAAAAATTCTCCCTGACTCTCATACTTTTTCATAAAATGTTTTTGTATATATACAAGTATGAAAGGGGCTTTTCATAGCATTCTTGGCATATTTCAGATATAGCATGATTACTCTCTGAATAATTAGATTAAAAAGTACAGTGAGGACTAAAGGGAGATTCCTGTTGTAAATGACTTGCACAAAGTCTAGAAGAGCCAGAGAGAGCATCCTCGCTTTAATCAGGGCAAGGTCACTGGGTCAGAACCCCATGTGGACCAATTAGTTTCTCACAGTGAAAAATAATGTTTTCAACTGTACCTCATGCTCTGGTCAGCTGTCTCCAGGAAATCTGTTCTGTGACACAGAGAACATCCATGACTCAGCTCAAATGCAGCACCACTGCTATATACATAAAGAACATAGCTGTACTGATAATGTCAGATATGCACATCATTTTGTGCAAAGAATATACAATTCCATACAGAGGCACATTTTTAAAAAATTCTTCTTCTTACAGTATTGCAAGGATTTGAAAATATTTTGCGCTGTAAAATTCTTCACAGTCTGCTACCAAATAATAATTTAAAGGCACGTATGAGCCAAGCAATACTACAAAGGTTATCTGCTATCTCATTCAAAGGAAATATCAAAATACTTTAAAATTTTCTATCAAATCCTTAGAAAATATTGTTTGTTAGTGAGTTTATTGTGATAATTTCAAATTAGTAATTAGCAAATGATAATTCAAGGTATATTCGATATTAAAAATAATAGGAAATATCATCATTCCTTCTGGAACAAATTGATATCTACTTACCAAGTACCTTGGTAATTGAGTAGGAGCCTAGATGGCATAGATTATTCATTGATCTTGTAACCACAAAGTCAGAAGTTCAAATGCACCTGCCATTACATGGGAGAAAGCCGAGGCTTTCTGCTCCCATAAAGACTTATGATCTCAGAAACCCACAGGGGCAGTTCTAGTCTGTCCATTGCATCAAAATTTACTGGATTGCAGTAAGTGCTTTTGTAAATTAAAGAAGGTGATAAAGTTTCACTAATGTTAAAATATAATTAGCAGTGAAAAAAGTTATCTTCTAGATACTCCAGTTAGAACAATGAAATATCTATCATTACTATTTATGATAAAACTCATTAATTTATGTAGCAAAGCACTCCAGTGTTTAATAAAATTTGTTTCCCTCTCATTTTGAGTTGGTTGGGGACCATAACTACTTCAAAAATAAGATAATTCATCAATTAATATTTTATTAAAGAAAATTTAAACTTATTTCAAAATAATGCATATAATATCAAAATATATCAACAATTTCTCCAAATTTGGAAGAAACTTTTCTAGAAGTCAGTTGTCATGAAATCTTCACAGAGATGCATCTATTTAGGTTACTATACAGTAAGATACATTTGGGTTAGATACATTTTTCTTTATATTTTAATAAAATGTTAAACCATGAACTTATTATGGTCATAAATCTACCCTTTTCAAATAACCAACACTTAAAAACCTGCTACAAGAAAGGGACACCATGCATCCTGGCTTCTGTAAGTGGGAAGAAAGAAACGCATTTGATATATGTACATCTCATCCCCATCTTCTGTTCCTGGTCATGATTGTGTCTCACTTAGCTGATTCTGAGTCACAGAAACCCCTATGACATAATGCATAACCGCAGGGGCTTCCAGACAGTTTCTTTTCATTTTTATAAAGTTAGCTTATTTGGCGCTGTTTATGAGCCTATGCAAAGCAAAACACACACCCATTTGTTTCTACAAGTACAATCCGTGACACGGATCGCAGTCTTTAAGTTGTGCGAGCATTCTTGTCTTCCTTTTCTAAGTTGTTCAGTTTTAGGACTCATTCAAGAGACATTTTGGTTAAAGTTTAGAGATTATCCCGGGGCAATAGTTTCATTTTCCAGAGCTCTAGAAAGTTGGAAACAATTTAAAATCAATATTCTGGTCTGCAATTTCCCCGCTTTTGCTCAGGACTCTGTGTGTGTGTGTGTGTGTGTGTGTGTGTGTGTGTGTATGTGTGTGTGTGTGTGTCAAGTTTGACAATAAAGCCCAGTGTAGGTGGCCAGGCACAACCCAGTACTGTTCTCATAGAAAAGGAAACAATTGTTCGTGTATGACAGTCCACATTCCGTAGTTGCCTCCTATTCTTGACTCTCTTTCCCGTTCACCCAGGTAACTAGAGTCCAAGGAACTAAATGTCATGAGGCTTTTGATTGCACATAAACAGGTTCAAGGGTGACTCTTTCCTGTTTGTTGAAATTGTAAATATACCACACAACCTTGATTACTGATATGTTTACAGGTGTATAGCATATTGGCGGCAATTAAAATAATCAGCTGTGCAACTCTATCCTAAATCAATATGATTTTCTCTTACCTTCAACCTCCCTCTTTTCCCTCTCCACTCTCCCTCGTAAATACTAATTAAATTTGATCTTTGTACATTGGATTTTTCTTGTCCAGTTTTGTAAGTGCGGTTATGCAATATTCTCCCCCTTTGAGATGGCCTTATTTCACTCAGCATGTCTTCAGACTCCATCCATCGGGACTTTGTTTTCTCTCTTATCTGAATACTATGCTATTGTATGCATGAGCCAGATTTTGACTATCCATTCATCTGTCGATAAGCATTTGGGAAGTTTCTACATTTTGGTATTGCAAATAGTGCTGAAACCAACATTGATGTACATGTTTTTGAGTGTGTACAAAGAGGAGTACAGAATTTCCGTTTTTGAGTTCACATCAGGAGTGAAATTGCTGTGTCCTGCAGTAGTTTGGTGTTTAGCTTTCAGGGACCGCTCCCTGGCTCCCGTACATTGGCCTCATGCGCTGCCACTTTGCTAAAGTCTTGAGTTTGCTCTAAACATTCTTTGCTGTGTGCACGCTGTGATTTTTCAACACATATATCTATAATTTTAGATGATGTACTTATTCTTTTTCAATATTGAAGAATATTTTTATATATACAAATCCGAGTTGGTATGTCTCCATTCACAGTATAGAAATGGTTTTTCCTAAGAAATTTGCCAGAAATCTAACCTGTCACTTTGTTTTTAAAGATAAAAGAAGAAAACCTCAAACTATTATATATTGAACACATTAAAATGAATTTCACTTGAGAACTACATTTCTGGTTAAATAATATGTAAATGTCATTGCCATTATGATGTCACATTGATATTATCTTTATATGAAACCTTCAGGCAATAAGTCTATCCATAGCTTATTAACCATATATACCATTATGAAATATATATATATATTTAATTAATATTATTGAAAGGAGAGGTAAAGAAATAAAATTAAAATAATAGCTTATAAGATGTTTTATCTTCTTTTTAAAATGTGTTATTATAAATTTTATCAAGATCTTCACTCAGGATTTGTCTCTTACTCTCATTACAGTGATGTCTTCTTACAACATCCAGTAACAAATACAATAAGTCACTGTTGTGATTTTTCTTTTAATTAAAAAAATATGATTCACTGGCTTAAAGAGAAGAAACAAACTAAGCCTTCCTGGGTTTTCATTGCATCATTTATGATTTTCAAAGGTCCTTACATTTTCAAGCACTGGATTTCTGCTTTTTACATTGATACCCAATAAATTCAGCATGGAAAGTAACACTGTAAAAAGACACTATCACATATAACTTTGTAACCTTTTGTTTATTTTCTTACTCTTATTTTAGGCAGAACAAGACAATGGTCATCCTCTCCCTGCCTTTGCCAGTCTCCACATTGAGATACTGGATGAAAACAATCAGAGCCCATATTTCACGATGCCCAGTTATCAAGGCTACATCCTGGAATCAGCTCCGGTGGGGTCCACTATTTCGGACAGTCTAAATTTGACCACTCCCCTAAGAATTGTCGTTTTGGACAAAGACATCGAAGATGTAAGTTAATGGTGCATGTTTTGTACTTCTTTTGTTAACGTACAGAAACATCTTGAGATACTGGATGAAAGCAACTGGAGCCCATTTTCATGACACTTAATTGTCAAGATTCATCCTGGTCTTTGCCCCAGTGGGTTCAAGAAGTATGTGATTCCGTGGACTATGGAAAAAAGAACAAAGCACATCAACAGAAATGAAATTCTTGGTGTTATCATTTGATTTCAATTCTAGGATATTAGAACATAACTATATGTATGCTTGGATGCAGCAACTATCCCCCTCCACCCTCAGTGCGCAGCTGACATATGAAAGAAAATGAGTGTTTCACTGGGTTTTATTAAGTTAGCATGCAATCTTTGTCATGCATGACTGGTAGGGAAAAAATAATAGCCTTGCCTATAATAAGTATAAAAATAATGTAGGCAGCCTGCAACATGAATTCTAATGGTCTACTATTAGAGAAAAAGTGTTTCATGGCAGCTGACCAGCTCACATCTCAGTCATTTACTGTGTGTGGTGCTACTTCCTTACTTCACACACCATTGTCTTCTGTTTTGCTGGAACTGACACTGGAAACAAAATCGGAAAGTGGTGCAGGTTAGGAAAATCAGAGCATTTCCCACTTTAGCCGCAGTGACTTGTACACAGAGTGGACAGATAATCTATATCAGGCCACTCCGAATCCTCCCTAGAAGTTAATGAGAAAAAAATTGAAGTTGAAAGACTATGGCAACATACATTAAAGAAATATATGTGACTCTGAGACTGTTGGGCAAAGCCCATCATCAGGGAAAAGGAATGAAGCCCGACAGCGACAAGCAGAGATGAGAGCCATGCCAAGTCTCCAGGGCTACCCAACCCCAAATGGTGTTCCTTTGAGTCTACAAAGTACCATAGTATTGACACACACATATATATATACACACATCTATATACATATATGTAATTTTAGATAGTGTGAATCTGATATCTGAATCTTGCTATTGAAAATGCAGTGTCAGTGCATTCTCACTCTTGAATAGCATTGCCCAATAGATTTTTTTTTTTTTGCTCAATAGAACTTTATGAAATGCCAAAAGCATACCATGGCTGTGCTTCTCAGCATTCACATGTGACTTTATTAATTAACATTAAAGAAAAAGCAGACCTTTATATTTTTAAATTTAAAATAAATATTTAATTTGAAAAAAGATAAGAAGATAAATATTGCAATCACCACATTACATATTTTTGAAGACTGTGTTTTCCCCCATGTAAGTGAAAGAAGGGATTCAAAACACTTCAGTCTCTATGTCTTTGGCAATAACAAATGTTTAAAGCTGAGTCATTCAAATATCTCAAAATATATCGTAGTTCTCTTTTAGAACAGATTCTGGTGAATGCCACTTGTCTTTCAAAGCTGATTAATGCTGTAGATGTTTCTCATCAGAAAAGTTCACTCACGCCCACTACTTTCAATTTTCACTGACAGAGACCCTCTAGGTCTGAGTCTAGGACAAAGTCAAATGGCCCCACAGGAGTGCCAAGGCTTCAATCTTTAGGGAGAGCTGATTGCCACCTCTGCCTCCCATGCATAAACTGTTGGGTTGAGAAGATTAACCGATGCACCACAAGGATTACTGAAAAGTTCACATAGGTGCACAATTTCCCATACTAATTCAATGAAAATAATTATCCACAGAAGTATAGCAGGTTTCATAATGGATAATACTAATGAACCTCTTAAATGACTAAGTTATCACTAGAATTTTTCTTCATCAAGAAACTTCAACTTTTGTCCTAAAGGTCTTCAACTGGTTAGAAGAGCTCAAATTATTATGAGTATTCATTGTTATTTATACTGACAACAAATGCTAAATACAGCTACAAGATACCATCACAGTTATTAAACTAAATCCCAAACTCACTGCTGTCAAGTCCATGTTGACTCCTAGCAGCCCTACAGGATGGGCTAGAATGGCCCCTTGTGAGCTCTGAGTAGAACCCCCTACCTTTCTCCCTCGGAGCGGCTGTTGGCGTAGAATTGTTGACCTTGTAGTAAGTGGCCCCGGACATAACCACTGCACTACCACAGCTATTACCAAAAACTAACCTTAAAAAATGTAGTTGGAGTTTTTAACACAGTAAAAAACTTTTCTGTATTTACACTTTGTTCATGTATTTATATTATTTAATTAACATTGTAATGCTAAACCTATATTTGGCCATGTGCCACCTATTTTGTCTGGGTTCTCTCAAACCAAAAACCAACCCCCCGACATTGAGTCACTGCCAACTCCTAGCGCCCCTGTAGGACAAGTAGAGCTGCCCTGCGAGTTTCCGAGATGGTGCGTGTTGATGGGAGTAGAAAGCCGTCTTTCTCCCGCAGAGCGGCTAGTGGTCTGGAACGCCTGGTGATTCCAGCTCGTGGCCTTATGGGTGACAGCCAATGCCTAACTACTGTGCCACCAGGGTTCCTCTGGGCTGTTGCGTCAACGTAAAATACAGATGTTCAAATGTGCTGCACACACTCTGTAATGGATGGTCAGACTCACCAGGTATTGCTGAGATGGGGTGACAAGAACTCCTGGGTGTAAAATATTTGCGAAATTCTACTTTGAATTCCATCTTAGTGATTGACAATGCCAGGTAACTTGTTAAATTTAGAGTTCCCAAAGGGGATAGATATTTTGTGGTACAGTCACTAAAAGTTGATTTTTGAACTCTGACTATAGAAATAGCAGAGAATAATAATAAACAAGTTTATACATTTGGTTTCTAAATGTCAATGATTCAGTATTGACTCCATTTAAATTAATTCATTTGTAAAAGTATTCCAGTAAACTTTAAGGTTATTATGTATTTATGTGCTTTATAAATAGTGTTAATTCTTCATATGTGTAAGTGGTTTAGCAGTACTGAAAAAAGAACACATAAACACCCTGGGAAAGATTGCTAGCTTAAATGTATTAAAAGTGGTTTATTTTTAAGTTTCCATTAGTGTACATTTGTATACCATTTATATGTTTGCAATCATTTATATTTACATTTTTTCCATGTTTAATTTTCATATAGGTTCCACCTGGTGGTATCCCTGTAGGTACTAGACGTGGATGTTGTGATTTTCTGTTTGGCTTGTTGCTGTGGTTGATTTTCCAGTTCATGATCTTTTCTAATAAAATAAAGCTCACTTCCGTAGAGTAGTTTCTGGATCATAGTAGCTCTGTAGGACAGAGAAGAACTCCTCCTTAGGGTCTCTGATACTCCAAATATTTATGTGGGCAGACAGCCTCCTCTTTCTCCTGCAGAGTGGCTAGTGAGATTGTACCAGCCCATTACCAGGGCTCTCAAGGAAGATAAGTAGGCCATAGTGCCATTGTAACTTATAAAGATACTTATCATTACTTCATAATCATTTACAAATTTTAAATGATATTATTGGCCATCAAACCCAAACCAAACTCACTGTCAAATTGATTTCCACTCCGGTGGCCCTGTAGGACCAGGCAGAACTGTCGGTGGGTTTCTAAGACTGTCACGCTGCTGCAGCAGAGAAAGCCGTGTCCTTCTCCTACAAACTGGTTAGTGGTTTCCAACTGCTGACCGTATGGCGAGCAGCCCGATTCATGACTACTACACCACCAGGACGCCTCCATTATTGTCCATACAATTTTGAAATTTAGTATAAACAAATTTCATTATGAATATTAATAAAATATCATTATGAAATGTAGCAGAAATTAAAATTTCTCATGAGTAGGTTTAATAATAGTATAAGTATTAAAAGTCTATATTGGTCCATGACATACATGACTAATTCATTATGTCAGTGTTTCTGAAAAATTCTAAACTTGGAATTGAGCCCTTTGAACAGAGTGCTGCAGATCGCTGCTACGAATGAACTCAAACTGACAGATGAGCTAAAAATAAGAGCAGGCTTCAAAAATTTGTGGAAAATTGCATTAAAAGATAATGAACATTTTTCATGAACTTTTTGAAGCGGCTTAATAGTCTTGTATTTTTTATGTTATGCTTTTTTCATTTATGTGTATGTTCATAAATACGCATGCAACTACATATGTGTGCATATATATCTGAACAGCTTCAAAAATTTGTAGAAAAATTCATTGTCTTTCAATTCACTTTTCCATGAATTTTTTGAAGTCCCCCTTGCATATATATTTCTGTGCTATGTGTGCCTATATATCATCATATATAAGCAAATCATCATGTGTGTGTTCTATCATACATTTTCTCATAGAACATCATCTTTGAACATAGTTTTCCATTATTGCAGTGTTCTATTTAATGGCATATTTTTGCATATTTTCAATTCATGTATTTGTTTTCTTTTCATTTGTGCATGTTATTCCTTTACATTCATAATATTGTGTTCATTTGAGTGAATTTCATAGTTAATTTTCCTTACCATATATAATATAATATCTAGTGAAGTAAAGTATATACTGAATGAATACTTCAGGGTAAAAAAAATACTGCCTTGTTTTGTGGGGGAATAAAAGAATAATTAATAATGGGCCAACAGCATACTTATTAATTTAGAATACTTATATTTACTTTAAATGCCTTTATGTATATAAGAATTTCATAATATCACCTGTTTCTATCAGAAGATTAATCTAGAGAGTTACCTGTTGATTCATAGCCTAGTCCATCAAAGCAATGAGCATCCAGCTCTCAGATGATTAGAAGTTCTAGCTGTACTGCCAATCATAGTATAACTCACATGTGGCCACAGAAATTTGATGTTGATACTATAAATACTACTCATAAAATTAATAAAATACATGGTACATATTGTGAATTAACCCAAATGAGTCAGATCTAAAGCTATTATTATCCTAAGGACTTAATCTAAAATATTTTACACTTGAATTATAATCTGAGTATTTCCAAATCTGTATTAGTAAAGAAACACCAGGATATTCACCAGTAAACTCTCTATATATGCTATATATTCATCTTGAAAGTTTATCAATTTAAACATACATAATTTTCCAGAAGCTGTATTTAATCAGACGGTAAGTATGCAAGGCAAGTTAGAGTGTGCTATGAACCATGCTAGCTGAATGTATTGTGTAACCTTCTTACTTAAAATTGATACTCTAGAATTCTGGCAGCAGTCATTTTATTCTCGAGCTACTTATCATAAAATGACCAAGAAGTCTTTATTAACTCTGATTATCAAATTGGAGGCACTCTGTATAAGGAGCCTTGATATCTGTATTATCTTTCAGAGAGAAAACGTTTCACAATGAAAATCTTAGGGCCCTCACAAATTTGTCAAAGAGAAGAATCAGATGGTTGTATATACACTGGTTTAAAAGATAATGCTCATTGCAGTATTGCCCCGTCATACCTCATAACATATAAAATGCTCTAAAACACTTGAATATGTGATGAATATATGGATGAGTATACTTAACAAATGCATTTATAGAAGCCAGGAGAAGAAAGAATATGGATCATATTAAGATAAAAAGAAAAACAAAAGGATTTGAGCAGAGGAGAAGTAAATGTGTGATAAACAAGTCATACAGCAAAAATACACAGCCTAAATGATGTGGCCTACATTATGAGTTAAAGAAGTCATGTTAGATAGGACCACTGATAGAATATTCAGAGAACAGATAAAAATATATGAGCTTAAAAGTGTAACTGTTATGCAAAAGCAAATAGAAACACTTATAAAAGTAGATATTCATGATTACTTTTAAAATTTTAAGTGAAACTCAAATGTACTATTTTTATAATTTCCACATTAATAATTGACTTTTATCCTACTTGACACAAAAATATATAAAAAGAGAAATTTTAAGTGAGGCTTAAACTGTGCTGCCCTGTACATTTCATAATTTCATTTTATAAATACAAAATGTGTTTCCTTTATTAACCAACATATCAGGGGGTACCCTGAACAGCTCCTCTGTGCTGGGCAGAGAGGAGCTTTCTTGTCACATTTTCCCCACCAGGCAAGCAAGGAGCAACTCGCTCTGAGTGAGTGCACCCAGTGGCATCACCAGGAAAAGTTCTCTCTGGTCACAGTGATTTTTTCATAAAATCAGTTTCACTTGAAATTTGTTTCTTCTGTGTTGGCCAATTTAAGAGAAGAGTGTGCAGCTCTGAAATTTTATTTCCTACTCTGGAAAAATGCTGCAGAAATGGTGTTGTTGTTGAACAAGGACTGCACAATGTGAAAAACTCCAGGAAACTAGTCCTTTTTTCATTTCAAAAAAGGTGAGATGTCAATTGATAACAAACCTCATTCTGGCTGTCCACCCTCCCAGATGAACAAAAATGTCAACTCAAAATGCATTTGGAGTTCGTTCCACCAGGTCAGCCGGTTAATCAAGCTTTCTATTTAGAGATTCTGGAGAGACTGTATATTAGTTTGTGACAAAAATGGCCTAATTTGTGGCAGATGGGGAACTGGTTTTGCCACAACACTGCACCTGCTCATACAGCCTACTCAATGTGCCACTTTTTGACAAAAACAGCACGCCTCTCTTTACTCACACACCTTACTCACCTGCCCTCACCACGCGTGAAGGAAGAGAGACATAAAGGACTAGGATTTGACAATGTAGAAGAGGTGAAGGAAAAAAAAAAAGGGAGATGCTGTCAGCCATCCAAACAGATGAGTTTGAAAAATGTTTCCAAGATGGAATCACAAATTTGACAAATGTTTTAAGTGTAGTGGCGAGTACTTTGAACGTGATAAGATTGTTTTGTCAAAAAATGTAAATACATAACTTTGAAAAAATTCCATTTTTTTGGTACCCCTCAAAAAATGAATCAAAATGCTTCTCTTTGTATATATGATGAATAGTTGAATGACATAACAGAAAAGCAACTGAGGTCTCTGTCTGAAAATATAAAAATGTACAAATATTGACTATGCACATATCTCACTATCTTTGATAAATTTACAATTAATAAATAGCAATTATTGTTTACAAGAGGATTTCAAAAAATTCATGGATAAGTGGAAGTTCATGGATGTTTTGCACAAACTTATAAATGACCTCTCCTATTGTATTCCAGAGTAAACATAGTACCAAACTAAAACCCAACCCGCTGCCACCACGTCGATGCTTGCTCACAGCAGCCCTGTAAGACAGAACAGAGCTGCTGCTGTGAATATCTAGGGCTGTAACTGTTCACAGGACTAGAAAGCCCAGTCCTTTTCCCGAGGAGAAGTTGCTGGTTTAGAACTACCTCTCAGGTAGATAACAATTCAATGCATAATTACACCACCACCAGGGCTCGCAAAATACTGCATAAATCAAACATACGATCATAGAAACTACCACAGAACAAAATATTATGAATATATAGCCTGTTTCAGGTTCAAATGAAAATATCAATTCCAAAGTCATAAGAAATCGATATATATTTCAATTTTTAAAAGATTTTTTGTTTTATAAGTCAAAATACTTTCTACATTAAATTATGCAATAATTGTTGTTGAAATTAAATTCACTTTTCTGTAGTATTGTAAATTTCAACTTTCTCACTTGTAAATTTGTTGTACTATGGGTTTCACTTTTGATAAAATAACAAATGTTAAACAATCCCCTACTGTGTCTCAGCCCTGAAACTTTAATGGCAAACAATAACATATCATATTAAATCAAATTTCATGATGGTCTCATATTTTTAAATCCAATATCTGTTTATGCTTTGTGTCATAATGATTTTTTATTTATGTAAAATTTATTTATCCCTTTTCCTAATTTCCATTATCTTCTTGATAGTCAGAACAAGCAAGCAATAAAACCTAAACACATTGCCATCAATTCTGCCTCCCTCACAGAGACACAAAAGGACAGAGTACAATTATTTGATAGTTTCTAATGCTGTAAATCTTTGAAGAAGCTGGCTGCTGCATGGTTCTCCTATGGAGCAGTTTTGGATTTGAACCACAGACCTTTTGGTTACCAGTATACTGGATACAAGCTTAATTACTACTTCAATATTCTCACTGGATTTGTTTTAGCCGACTCTGTCTTTCATTGTAAAGACAACCCATTTTATATATTTATTATGCTTTCAGAATTTCAGAGATTAATACCTTGGGGTATTGGAAACAGTGCATTGCTTACTGGAGAGATGTGAGACTACAAATCCTTTTCTCTCAGGACTAACACTCACATTTTAAGATTTTCCAGTGCTAAGTTGATTATTTCTCAATCTTGAACATTTGACAATGCCCTCTTCTTCAAGTATAATTAATCTTGTCTGTAGAACACAGGTTCTCAACCTGTGGGTCATGACCCCTTTCGGGGTCGAACGACCCTTTCACAGGGTCACCTGATTCATAACTAGCAAAATTACAGTTATGAAGTAGCAAGAACAATAATGTTATGGTTTGGGGTCCCCAGAACATGAGGGACTGTATGAAAGGGTCGTGGCATGAGGAAGGTCGAGAACCACTGCTCCGGACGCTCATTACGAACATAAATTTGTATGTTTTCATCTAATCAACAAAAAGTTATCAATTAAAGTAGATATAATTTTTCCATTTGGAGAATAGTTACAATATTAAAAAATTTTTAAATGACAAGAATGATATTTATTGTTAATGAATAATTTATGAATTTTGTTTTTATTTTACACCCTAAGTTAGAACTGAATTGTAATATACATATATGCAGTTCATTACTACAAATTGAATGATTATAAAAGCCTATAACCAAAATTCTGGATTCCAGTTTCCTTTTCTTCATATTATTTATTATTTCTCCATCAGAGAGACCTTCTAGAAAACATTATTAATAATCAGTAAAAAGTATTCAGTAAGATTTTCTGCTCTTTGGAACTTCCTGTTAATTTTAATTTTGTTCACATTAATTATAATTTGTATTTGCTTCAAAATTTTGTTTTCTTTACAAGATATTATAATCTAGATGATTATCTCAATTCAGAACTGCTGTTCAATCAAAGCTCTCTTTTTAAAGGAAATTCTTATTATAGTAGTTTTCTCTACTAAAAAACTGAAAAGTAAATTCCAAATAAGAGACGAATAGCCAAGTTTTTAATGTAACATTATAAACAATGTTTTGTTTTGTTTTTCATAGACAAAAGACCCAGAGGTCCACCTGTTTTTGAACGACTACACCTCAGTCTTCACTGTCACACAGACTGGCATCACGCGCTACCTCACCTTACTGCAGCCTGTGGACCGGGAGGAACAGCAGACTTACACCTTTTCGGTAAACAGCACTTATATACGCATGCATACATGTATGGAAGTGAGAGAGGTGGTTCCTGAGAACTGAAAAGTCAACTGTTTGAGAAGACTGTAGTGTTTTAAAGTAGCACTAGAGAGATTATCAATAATAAAAGTTCTTCAGATTAATTTTTCACCTTACATTTATCAGTTTATATAGTTGCAATCCTGTACTTTCCCGGAGTAGAAATGTAATTTTCAGATCAAAAATAAACAAACAGGGCTATGAGGTTGTATCATAAAATGATCAGAAACTTACATTGAGATATTACAAGTATGAACCCAGAGAATAAAGAACGATTTCTTAGTTTTCTGGTTGTTACGATGGTGGGAAGGGGACGGTAATTGCTGGTATCTCACGAGTAGACACCAGATAGCTGACAAGTCTATTATAACGCACTGGATAGTCCCATCACAACCAAGCGTTATTGGGTCCAAAATGTCAATCTGTGGAGTCTCAGAAATCCTGAATTGAAGTTAACCAAGACAAAGGGAAAACAAACAGGTGGTTTATTGATGTGCTGGTAAATGGTGACCATGGAATAAGAAAGAAAGCTCTCACACACATATACAGGACTAACAGATTTGAGAGGCAGACAAATAAAAATTAAGGTCTTGCATCACACAGAGAAACTTGACCAGTTGATTACAGCAGATGTAGTTAGGTTGAAATGAATTACCTTATTGTTTGATCTCCCTTTTTGAGCCATATTATTGCTGTTTCAGTTTTTAATATTTCCTACTTTTTTATTGAAGATTTTCTGTTTTGTCTAGTTATTGTTGTTGAGCATTTTTATTTGTTTGTTTCTGTTTACTTGCTTCCTCCTGTGATTTGTATGATTTTCTGCAGATGAAATCCAGGATAGGTAGATCTTTAGGAAGCGTCAGGAGACTTGTCAAGGGGATGGCAGGTGAGGATGGAGGAAATAGGGAAATGACATCATTGAGTACATGAAGAAAAATCTCTGAAATTGATGATGGTGATGATTGCACAAATCATCCTAATATTATCAAGTGATTAAATTGTATAAGATGTGAAGTATAACCCAATAAAACTAAAATAAATAAAATCATTTTTTAAAAAGGGCGAGGTACTATACAAGATTTTGAAATAAATTTTATCTAGGTGGAAGAAAGACATCAGCTGACCTAAAAGGACAGAGAAAAAGGCTTGTAGAGGAGTTCTTTCAGAAGTCCGCACTGAGCCACTCGAACCATTGTGGTCTAAGATGCTGCTGAATGGGTTCTGACTCAGTGCCTGATGTGCAGTAGAAGGCAGTACATCAGTGCTGTGTCCTGAGACATCCACAGACATGTTGCTATGTTTGAGTCCATTGTGACAGCCACTGAGTCGATCTGTCCCACAGATGGTCTTCCTCCTTTTTTGCTGACCCTCTACTTTATCAAACCCACTGCCCTCCTTCGGGGACTGGTCCTTCATGATAACATGTCCTAAGTAGGGGATAAGGAAGTGCTTCATGCTCCTTTCAAAGCTCATGAACTTCGAAGTGTCAGACGTCAGGTGGGGCAAGTTTGGCAATAGTGTAGAACTGCTCTTGTTCTTCAGCTCTTAAAAAAGAACAATGCCATTCAGAAACCCTTTTTAATTAATTTCAATGAGTTTTAATTACCAATTTTTAATCACTATTGTAGAATTTCTACTTTCTTGGCTGCTATAAGCATGATTATTGTAAAAGCAAGTACATTTTGTGTGCCAAATAAGTAAAAGTGAAAGGTATTTTTTCTTTAAAAACCAAGCAAACAATAGATCATCTTTAAGAATCGTTTATGTCTGCCCACTTACAACGTTGAAGACTGTTGATATCCACTTATCTAATTATCCATCTATCTATTTAACTGCTTAATTTTTTGGTGGTTCATGTGAAAGTTGAAAAATCAAAGTGGTTTTTCATTTAAAAGTTCACACATCCCAATACAATGATCTAAAAAGAAAGAAAAAAAAGCAGACATCAGAAGAAAAAAGTTCATACAAATTTTTTGAGTGGCATTGATTGCAAGCTACACGGTAATACAATGTATCAATATTCTTCTCAATTTCTTGCTGTGTTTACCGTTTTTATTTGCTTTTCTTCCCGTCACTTCTTGTCTTCTGAGCTTGATCTCTTCGTAGCCCCATGTGGCCCTTCCAAAGCGGTCACAGCATCTGGCTCCAGTGTCATTGAGGCTCGGGTTTGTGTGTGGTCTGTTAGTCAACATCTGCTCATTCATATGTGCTTCAAATTGAATATGTTGACAATAATACATAATCTTCACTATTTTCTTGAAACCTGTTGATATATGTAGTTGTATAATTTTGTCTTTTATGTAGCTGATAAAATAAGCTACCATCTTTTTAATCTGTCAATCACGTAGAAAACACTCCTTAAATTATTAAGGAGTCTGTCCTATTTGTATTTCAAAGATTTCTCTATTAAGTGGATTTTTCTCTTCCCAAAGATAACAGCATTTGATGGTGTCCAAGAAAGTGAGCCAGTTATTGTCAATATCCGAGTAATGGATGCAAATGATAACACCCCAACTTTCCCTGAAATATCCTACGATGTTTACGTTTACACAGACATGAGCCCTGGCGACAGTGTCATACAGGTAACTACCCATAGTATATGAAGATATATTCAAAGCAATTTTGCATGATTGTTTCACTATGGACAGTTTAAGGAATTAAATTAATTTAAAATGTATTATATGATATTATCTAGGTATAAAATGTTAGTTATTTTTCCAATAAATAGACAGTGATATACATACTAGTTATTGAATTGAAATACATCTATTTTATCTTAATAGCAGATTTTCTAAAAAGTTAATTTATTCAAGTGCCATTTATTATATATGAAGTTTAAAACTTGAAATAGTTCTATAGTATTATAGAAGTAAGTTTTCCTGGTGCCACAGTAGTTAAGAGTTCAGTTGATAATCAAAGTGTTGACAATTTGAACCGATCATCTGCTGGGGCGGGGAGAGGGGCAGAAGATAAAAGCCTTGGGGCAGCACTGTTAACATTGGTTTGCAGAAATAATTAAATTGCCCCTGGCAATAAAAACTAAGGAGCACATTAATAAATGTACAAGCAACTACTACACACTGGTTATTGGATCCAAAATGAGACAATTATAGCAGAGGAAATTTAGATTCAATACCAAATGGTTTTATTAAAATTAGAGAATGTTGGAAAAATAATTCCTATTTGCCTTACCATTGACTATATTTTTGCATTTAAATTACTTGTAGACTAGTTTAGAATTTCATGAATGAAAATGGTAAAGATGTGAGAATCCCAACTGATGATTTTGAATAATCTGAGAGTTAGTTAATTATGGTACGTCTCAAACTGACCAGGCATCCACAGTTCTCGGGAGCTGTTTAGGAATACATATTACCAACATTTGCTTCTGATTTTCTGAATAAAGTTCTCCAGAAGCAATATAAGGGAGGGTGTGGGTAAGTGATATCAAATGCCAAACACCAATGATTTCAAATGACCCACTTTGTAAGTTCCACTGATCCACATTTTCTTCTAATCCTGAGAATCAAAGTTCACAGCTTAAATTTACTTTCAGGCCAGAAAAGTCATGAATTTATGTGTTTTGAAGAAGTCTAATGACACTGTTATTAGTAGATGCTATATATATATATACAAGTGTTATTATTCGTGTTTAAAAAGCAGTCCAAATGCCTCCGCAATGTACACAATTCTTCCTGCTAGTACCCTTGATTTTCTCTCCAGCTTCATTTTGGCCTTATACTTTCTTACACTCTACTCCCACTTCACTGTCTCCAGTGACGTGCGCGGACCTTCTTTTTGCAGTTGCCTGCTGCCTTTCTCTTGCTCTCCTTTGCTTCTTTACTTTGTTTTTGCCCTGCAGGTTTTGTCTAAGAAAGCATTTCTCAGTGATTCTCTGTAGGTAGTTCATACCCACTCAGCTGCTCGGAGGGAGAATAAAAACCTCTTGATCTCCTCCTACAAAGATCACAGTCTGGAAGGCCCTGTGAGGTGGGTCCTACTCGGTCACATGAAAGTCCTATGAGTCGGAAGACTCCAAGGCAACTAACAACAACAACAACAACAACAAAAGTAACAGTTCTTCATAATTCTTTCTTGATAACTCTTATACCCACCACTCAGCAGTTTTTAAACGATGATGTATCCTCATGTGTACATGGACTGAAATACCCCAATATATTGCCACTGAGTCAATTCTGATTAGTATTGACTTCGGATGGGGTTCCTGAGATTTCAGGTCTTTAAAGATGACACCCACTCCTTTCACTCTAGGGGTTTTGGACCACCAAACCCTGTGATCAGCATTCCAACATCTAGCATACAGCCTCCAGGGTAGCGGTTCTCAAGCTGTGGGTTGAACAACCCTTTCACAGGAGCCGCCCAATTCATACCAGTAACAAAATTACAGTTATGAAGTAGCAATAGAAATAATGTTATGGTTGGGGGGTCACCAAAAGAAGAACTGCATGAAAGGGTCCCGGCATGAGGAAGGATGAGAACCACTGGTCCAGGGCTTCTGATCGGAATAGATGGTTAATTATCTTAGTTAGAACCCCACCTCATAGGGTTTGTCTCCCCCTATCTAGTGTCTGTCACTAGAACCTCCTCTATGTCAAATTTTTACAAGACTAGCTCATCTATTCTCATCTGGCACAAACTTGATCACAAACAAGTTTCCTTAATAGTTCAATGTCACTATAGTTCCTCATCCTCCCCACACCACAATTACTCATACACATTTTTTTTCTGATCAACTCACTCTCTCATTGTAACCATCTGAGGTTAACTTCTACCTCATTTTACAGTGCCATATATATCGTTTTCCTTTTCTCAATCCAACAAAAACCTTGAAGAGGTCTATGACTGTCTTATTTGCTATTATAATGTTAGCATAGGCCAGCATTTTGACCATGCAGCAGATAAATGCAAAAGCTCCACAAAAGCCAGAAAAATTCTATTATCTTTTAATTCTATCATTTCAAGAACTTTTGGAAGCCCCTTATAGTATGACCAACTTTTCATGTTGTCACACCTCATTGAAATTGAAATAATATAATGCTATGTCTATCTTGTGGAGGAGCCCTGGTGGTGCCCGGCCTAAGCAAGGGCATGACTTCTAATTGAAAGGTGAAAGGTTAGATGGAAGGCAGCATGTGTTCTGTAGCAGAATGATGTCGCAATCTGCTCCCACAATTATTACAGCCGTGGAATCTAGATGAGCCATTCTACCTTGTTCTATAGGGTTGCTATGAGTCGGAATCAACCTGACGACAATTTTTTGGTTTATCTTTGTTCTGTACATTGGGTTAAGATGTGCTTTCTTGAGTTACATATATAGAAAGGGGCGATCTTAGAGCCTCTATTTCTAAGCACCAATTGAGGTTCATGCCTTGTTTGAAAATCCTCTGCTGTCTGTGGTCCTGCAGGGGATGGGCTGCAAATGGCCATAATGCATTTTATTCCGATTTGGGTTAGGGCACTTGTCACATTGCCAAGTTCATCTTTTTGCTATCTGTCTTGAAGGCAGAAGTATAATTATTTGATTCATCATATTTTCATAGCATGTGTATCTGTAGTGCCCCAAATATAGAAAGAACATATATGATATAGATGCTTGATAAATGTTTGAGAATCAAAGAAAGAAGGCTACAGACAAGCAAATTGAGTGTGTGACAATAGGAGCAAATGGGAGGGTGTAAAAGTAATGGTATTCATTTCTAGTCAATTGAGGGCTCAAATGGCTCAAAACTACCTTTTGTTCTTATTGAGGAAGTCTTTTGTAGGGAGCAAAATTATAGCTTATACAGATAAAAAAAGTGCCAGCTATTGTCAAATTCTTATTTAATTAAACTTGATTCTCAATTCTATAATGACATAACTGGGGGAAAAAGTAAGTTTATACAGAAAAACAACCAGCAGGGAACTGGGAAGTGTAACTAAGAAAATGTGAGCAATTATGTGGGAGAAGAGCATCTCACGAAATGTTTGCCTTAGGGGGTCACTAGCCTAATTCTGGCATTTGAAGGCTACAAAAGTTAATTTCCCTTATGTATTTCTTTATAAATGTGATCATTTCTTCTTTTATATTTTATATATTTCCCTGAACTATGCAGATTACAAAGACAAATTGTTGTGTGGGCCTATATACCTGTTTTTTTAAATATTTAAAAGGAAAGAAATGAAGCTTTATAATTAAGATCTTTAATATTATTCCTGGTATATGGTAAAAGAGTGGCATGCTTATAAAATATCTGTCAGGAGCCTAGAAATAAAAGGGGAAAATCCCACTGAGAGAAAAACCTTATAATAATTTATAAATATGATATATGTATCCTTTTAAGGATCACAGAGTCAGTCCCTAATGTCTACCATTCACCTATATGCATCACAGTGAACTATAGATAACCTTCAGAATATTAGGAACTTAGAATCACATGCTTGTATTCATGTGGAAGGTGTACATGGATCAAGAGGATGCTGTGCAAACTATACATGGGAATATTGCAGGGTTAAAAATCAGGAAAAGAATGCAACAGGGTTATATCCTCTACCAACACTTATTCAATCTATATGTTAAGCAAATAGAGAAGTTGGATAATATGAAGAAAATGTGGCATCAGGATTGGAGGAAGGCTTATTAACAACTGGCAATAAGCAGAAGACACAATCTTGCTTGATGAAAACGAGGAGGATTTACAGCCTTTCTTTTTTTTAACATTTTATTAGGGGCTCAAACAACTGTTATCCCAATCCATACACACATCAATTGTGTAAAGCGCATTTGTACATCGTTT